ACTGGCAGTCTCACTGGTGAGGCACCAACAGGGTGTGGATATGATTTGTTGAAGCTGCTTCCACATCATGAGGGAAGAACCAATTCTTAAAATACAATGCACCTATACAACTTTGAACAAGAGGAGGAATAACCGGAGGACACTCCTAGTGGGCCTCATTTCAGAGTGCATGCTGCTCTGCAATGCTGAAAAAGGAAATAAAAATATCTACAGTACTTAGTGGCAAACAACTCACAAAATGCAAAGTAGTTCACAAAACTGAAGAAGGAAAGAACTGAGGTTGGGAAATGTGCCTTAAAGCAAAGGTGGCTTCAGAAAGCCCTAACAGATGACTAAAAGCCCATCTYTCTGCAAGATCAGGAGCTCCCACAGCAACTCTGAGACACTGGAGTAAGACTGTTTATGCACATGGCAAAACATGGGGAAACAAGTAACAGAAACAAGATACAAAACAGAAACAAAATATATGGAAACAAGAACTTCCAGGATTTGTAAAGAAAAGGCTTACCTTTTCTGATCCATTAATGATGAAGTAACCACCAGGATCAAGGGGGCACTCATTCAGCTCACAAAGATCACGGTCAGTTAAGCCATTCAGCAAACAGTACGTGGAACGCAACATGATGGGAATTTTCCCTATGAAGGTTTTCTGATGCTGGGTCTGCAATTGGTCTTCCCCTTCTTTAATAACTGTTTTAGTTATATCCACATACAAGGGGGCAGAATACCTACAAAATAAAAAAAAAAAAACCACTGTGTCATCTGTCAGTTACTATTTTCTGTACAACCTGAGTAATGAAGGCAGTTATTCAAGCACTCAGTGGTGTATCAAGCATTATTACCAAATCATCAATCACCATTTAACAACTAGACACAGAAGTTGAAATAAAGCAGTTATTATTACATTTTCAAAGCATTACTATATTGAAAAAGACTATCAATAAATAATACAGAGGCAGTTCTTCCWTGTGTTTATCTACCACAGAGCTGGCTCTTACGTAAGGTTTCTCAGCCTGGCTTCATTTGGCATCATAGGTGAGGGTGCTCCATCTCTTTCCCAATGTGTAGGTTTGGAGAGATAGATTTGCTCAAACTTCAACAGATACCGGGGCTGAAAAACAAGAATATATTTACTTATAATGGAAGAAACATCACTCTGATTAGAAACCAGTACTGTTATTGCAGAACAACAACCACCATCAATAAAAGAAAACACAGCAAGCTGAGGTAACACGAGCTATTGAGGATGATTGTATTAGGATTAGTACACAAGGACTTGAGTTTTCAGAAAAGACCTGAAAACAATCTGGTTTTTAAAATGCACAACAGGAGGTGGTAGATMCTCGCTGTCAAAGATTCTGTAGGTCAAAAAAATCTCTCAATCCTTACGTGAAGAAACACCTTTTCCTGGATTTGCAGCAGCAGCCACAAACAGTACCGTTTCCCAAATTTTCATGAAACACTCTCAACAAGAACACATTTACCATAAWTCTTATCTCTGAGCATGGTTACTAAATTCTCTCCTGTGCTCTAAACTGCCATGAAAATTTGAGACTGAGAAGTAGAGGGAGACAGAAATAGAAAATCAAATCTTCCYAATACACAGTTTCTTTAAATTAGTCCAGCATCTTCAAACGTAACAAGAGATTGCCTGCAACTGACTCTCAAGGAAGAAGCAAATTATCCTTTCCTTTTCTCACCTCTAAATCAATTCCTAAAACTTGAATTTAATAAATGAGAATAAGACACTAACCTCTGTGATCTGAGAAAGAAAAATTTTGGGCAAAAAGAAGCCCARCACAAACCATGCCTGTGATCTGAGCCATAACCAGGCACAAACATCAAYTTCAGAGCTGCATAGCTAGAGAATTCTGCCATAATATACACAAAGTAAGAGAGGAAACCTTAAGAACTGTGAGCTAAATGTTCAGAACTGTTTGCCTAACAAAGAAACCAAAAGACATCTCAGTTATTCTCTACAGGATAGCTGTCTGCTCGCAAAAAAAATGCAAAGGAATGTGAAAAACAAACGTGTAACAAATTCAGCGTTCCGGTGCTCTTAAAGCTCCTTTAAATCTCTAGAGGGAAGCATGAAGATAGTAACTGACAGCAAGGCAACAGCTCTGCACTTACAGAACAGGGACCAGACTACACAAGGGACACAGAAGAAAGCACCAGAGCCACTGCAGAAGGTGCACACTCATGGTAGAAGAGACATCACAGGGTGCAGATCTGAAACAATTTGACCTCTTTGGAACATGATGCCAATGGAAGAAGATGAGCAACAGCACACTTTAAAACCCTGGACTTAACCTGAGTCAAAGCTAACAGAGAAGTTTTCAGCCATAAACCTTTCCTGTCATGGTAAAGCTCCTGGAAAATCCAAATCCCACCAAAACATGCTTTTGGCTACCTGACCTGCTCTACTAAATCTCTSTCTGTGCAGTTTTGCACAGGAAATGACAATATGAGCTGCAGCAGCTATTTGTTTTTGGTCACTTCTCAACACGAACAGCAGGACAGRTATTGAACAAAACTGATGTAACATGACTGCATTGTAAAAACATATCTCTGCCAGGGTTCTCCACTTACCGGCTCTTCCACTTCTCCTGAGGCATGCTGGGCTTCAGCTTGTAAATCAATTGGTGGAGCATCTTCAACAATTCTCTGCACAGACATCTGAATAAACTCATCAAAGGAATCCAACTGTTGCCTGACTAAACCCTTTTCATCAAAATAGGAGCTAAAAAAAAAGAGCACATTAATAAAAAATCTGAATTTAATTCATGCACTTCACACTTCAACAAACTTAAGATGTATTTATTATAAAACTTCCAATAATCATGGAATGCAGTAGAGAACTGAACACATTCACTTATCCCCAGGCATGAGTTTCGAACACAGATGCTCCTCACAAATGTTTAACAATTCCCTCACTGCTTGAAGACACACACTTCGGAGTGACAGACTTGCTGCCACCTCTTAGCTAAGCCAGGCAGTCAGCACTTTAAATCACCCTTAAATTAGAAGACAAACATGATGACAAACCTTACTGAAAGTGGCTTCAGCTGAAGTTTTCAATAATGCTTGTAAATTACTTTGGTTTAACTAATTTTCCAAGCTGCAGTAAACTGGGAGCATGCCCACAAGTCCAAGAAATAGTTCTCAGAACTTTTAGCTTGGATCCCCACTGTTCTAGCTGCACAGGGATTAGCAGCTTCATCTCCAGATTTTCCTCAGCCTTTTGGGTAACCTAACTTCAACCCAGCACAATCTAACTTTACAGATCAGAGCCCAAATTCAAAGCTCCATGCCCCAAWTTTTGGTGGGATGAACTAGCCACATCTACTGCATTCACTCATGCCATCAAGSTCCTCTACCTYCCATTACTGAAGTGAGCCAGGGAAWCCASAWAACYGCAGCTTCTGTCCCATCACTGCCAACATATCAGAGAAAAATGGAAAGAACTACCCCTGTACCAACAATTTTGGGCTTCTCCAGGAAGGGTAGCAAGCCTTCAGCTATTGTGCTGCTGCTGCACAATCTGCTCTTGCCCAAGGAAAAGGATGATGGGAAAGATCAACCTGTGTCCCAAAACAGTTCAGGTTGGAAGGGACCTCTGGATGTCATCTTGTCCTATCACTGCATTCAAGCAAGGTCCCCTAGAGCTGACTGCCCATGACCATGTCCAAACAACTTTTGAATAATGTCAAGGATGGAGATGGAAGCTCCATGACCTYTCTGGGAAACACAGGGCCTGGTCATCCTCACAGTAAACAAAGTGTTTTGCCATATGGAGCGAGGTGCTTAAGCTGAAGGACGCAGTTACTTCCCACATGTCTGAAAGTAAAGACAACACTCCTTATTGCAAAAGAAAGGATCTCCTTCTGCCTCCAAAATTTCTCATTTCTCCAACCAGACTGTCTATGGGACCAGCCCCATGGATCTACCCTTGGGCTTGCAACTGCTACTCTAAGACACCATTCATGCACATCTTATGAATGATGCAACCAGCAAAAGAAACACTTTTTACTCAGCCCCACACAGCATCCCACCTCTTAAGAGTCATAAAAAGCCGCAGGTCCTGGACACTCATGTCTTACTAGAAAACAAAAAACACTACCAAAATGGTGAAAATAACTGAGAACTAACTTCCTAATGCCAGCATCAGCTGAGGTTAGCGGGCAAAATTGTGTGCTTGATATGGAACCAAAACCAGCCCTTTCTTCACTGAAAAAAGTGTGTGCTGGGCATCAGCAGAGCTTCTTAATCCCTGACGACAACCCTTTGTTTCTGCTAAAAGCCCTCCTGCTCTGAACGTGCTGCAACACACAATTTAGCAAAACCAAGCCTGCAGCTCCCAAACGTGTTCCAGAGAGCAGCTTGGATGTCACCTGCAGGACCRAGARCACATGTGCTGAAAGCTTAGGAACRGCAAACTTTAGCAAGTCACCTAATAACAATCCAGCAGGCTTCTTGCCACAGGTCGGGAGTGATCTCATCATCGTCTTCATCATATTGCATATCTGCGGGGAAACACAACGTGTGAGCCAGGCTCCGATCACCGCGGTGTCCCCCCTCGCCTGCTCAGGGACCCTCCGGCCCCCCGGATCCCGCGGCATATCCCACAGCGCCCGGCTCCTACGGGCCCAGAGCGCGCCCAGAGCCACCTCTTGTCCCCCTGCCCGGATGGATAGGAGGAAAAGGCGAGGAGAAAGAAAGGGAAAACCCCTCACCTTCGTCCGCGTCGTACATGGTGGCGGCGGGAGGAGCCGCGGGCGGCGGCGGCGGGACAAGGAACGGGAGAGAGCGCGGCGGAGCGCGGGSCGAGCGGCGGCGGGACGGCGGCTGCGCGGCCCGTGACGTCAGGCGCGCGTCTCGCGCGAGGCGCCCGCGCGCCTGGTGACGTCAGCGCAGGTCACCCTCGCGGCGCCCGCGCGCTCGGTGACGCCAGGCGCGCGCGTGCCGCGGTGTGGCGGCGGGTGCCCGTCCCGTCCCTGTCCCCGTCCCTGTCCCCGTCATGTTCCGCCTGGGCCCCGCGCTCCTGGCCCGCCTGGCCCGTGCTCGGCCCCGTGCCCCGCTGCGGCGGTGCGGGGCGGCGGCGGCGGCGGGCGGCGGYGAGGAGCAGGAGCGCTTCGTCTTCCTCGAGTACGAGATGGACCCGGCTGAGAAGGCGGCGGCGGCGGCGCTGCAGCGGGAGCGGAAGCTGAAGGCGCGGCGGGAGCGGCAGGCGCGGGCTGCGGCAGCGGCGGTGGTACCTGGGCTGGCCGACCCGTCGGTGCCTCCGAGCGGCGTGAGCTGCTCGGGCTGCGGGGCCGAGCTGCAGTGCGGGGACGGCGGCGCGCCGGGKTTCGTGCCGGCCGACAAGTACCGCGGGCTCGTGTCCGAGGGCCCCGCCGGCCTGCGCGGCGCCGTGTGCCAGCGGTGCTGGGCGCTGGCGCATCACGGGAGCGCCCTGCGGCTGCGGCTGCCGCCCGACGAGCACCGCCGCGTGGTGAGCGCCGCCCTGCGCCGCCCGCCGCGCCACGGCCGCGGGCCGCTGCTGCTCTACGTGCTGGACGTGATGGAGCTGCCCGACCCGGTGCTGCCGCAGCTGCCGGCGCTGCTGGGCCCCGACGTGCCCGCCGCGGGCGTGCTGGTGGTGGGCAACAAAGTGGACCTGCTGCCCGCAGACTGCCGCGGACACCTGGGGCGGCTGCGGCAGCGGGTGGCGGCGGCMTGCGAGCGGGCCGGGCTGCGGGGAGCCGCGCTGGTGGACATCCGCCTGGTGAGCGCCAAGACCGGCTTCGGCGTGGAGGGGCTGGTCAGCCGGCTGCAGCGCTCCTGGAAGTGCGCCGGCGATGTCTACCTGCTGGGCGCCACCAACTCCGGCAAGTCCACGCTTTTCAACACGCTGCTGCGCTCCGACTACTGCAAGTCCCGCGCCCTCGACATCATCGACAGGGCCACTGTGTCTCCCTGGCCAGGTCAGRGCGCCGCTCGGTTGTTGTACCATGGGTTATAGGGGATGAGGGGTGCACAGAAAGCAGCGAGCCGTGCGCCTCTGTGTTGCCCTCGTCCATCCCTGCACCAGGAGAACCTGTCACCAAAGGGGTATCTGCCACCCATGCCACCACTGTGATGGGCAGCAAGCTCCAGAGGTGTGCCCTGCTTTGAATTGTCACTTGTGAGGAGTGGTGAGGGAGCTGGGGTTGTTAAAGGAGGCTCAGGGGAGACACCATCATTATCTATAACTATCTGAAAGAAGATTGTAGCCAGGTGAGGGTCTGTCTCTTCTCCCAGGCAGCTGGAAGAGGAGAAGAGGGCATTAGTGTTAAGCTGCACCCGGGGAGGTTTAGGCTGGTTATTAGAAGGAATCTGTTCACAGAAGGGGTGATTAGGCATTGGAATGGTCTGCCCAGRGAAATGGTGKAGTCACTGTCCCTGGAAGTGTTCAAGGAAAGATTGGATATGTCACTCAGTGCTGTGGTCTAGTTGACATGGCAATGTTTGGCTGTAGATTGGACTCTGTTCGCAGAGGTCTTTTCCAACTTAATTGATTCTGTGATTCCTCAGGGCAGCAGGAGTGGGATGCATGTGCTGAGGGTGCTGTGCATCCTGTAGCATTAAGTGCTCTGGTAAACCAGAGTGGGTCTGTGTGCACCCCTGCCAGTGAGGATGGCACCTGATCTGCATGCCCTGCCGTGTTCCTATCCATTGCAAGTGCCCTCCAGTCCAGAGAAACCTGGAGGTGGGGTGGTGAGCACTGTAGGCCAAACCAAGCTGTCTGGAGGTGAGACTTCCCTGGGTGGTACTAAGTCAGCCTCAGCACCACTCAGCTTTGAGACCCTTTCATTCAAACTATAAGTGAGAACAGGCCTTAAGCAGGTAAATAGCTTATATTTGCTACCCTGATATGGGAGGCTAGTATGTTATGGGAGCAGGTGTAGTTCCACCTCTGACTTTCTGGGTTTCACCAAAAAGCTGGAAAAGCAGTTTGTTTTTCATCTTGTTTCTCAGAGCTTAAAGGTACCAGGTAGTCAGAGACGCAAACATGCCCTCTGTTTTTTTTTTTTTTTTCCAGGAACAACACTGAATCTGTTGAAATTTCCGATTATTAACCCTACCTGTGACAGGATATTCCGAAGGCAGGAGAGGCTAAAAGAAGAAGCAACGAAAACAGAAGATGAGCTAAGCAGTGAAGAAAAAAAGTACCTTAATCAACTTAAAAAGCAAGGTTACTTAGTTGGTGAGTATTACCTAATTAATGGTTTTATCTTTCTTCCCCTAATGAAAATACTACATTACACAAAGGACTGTTAACTCCTTAGCTTGCTTTAGAATCCAGCTGTTTTTTTATTTCTTCCTACTCTGAATTTATTTCCATTTAATTAGGGAGAAGATTGTCTGCAGAAATGCTATCCGTAGAAGCAATAACAAATTTCCAAACATTCATTAAAATTATTTTGACCAGTGTTTTCTTCTGTATTAATGGGGGAAAGACCTCTTATCTCCTCTATGAGCAGCATTATTAGTTCTTCTCTTGAATAGTTACTTGTCAGCTGCTGTAGTAGCAGAGGGTTCCTCTGTACAATGCATCTCCTATCTGAACTAGGTTGGCAAATTCTGATGGCTGAGTAATTTGCAAGAATATCACACTATGGCCTATCTCTTGTTCCGAAATAAAGAGAATAAGTTGAGTTTTTAAATAATCATGTTTGGACTGCATGCCACAGGGGCCACATACATTTTAGTATGTATTCCAAAGAGGGTGGTGCCAGAAGATAGCTCTGGTTTTCAAGTAGTTTTGTGTTTGGCACAGTCTAAGGCACTGAAAAAAGAAGACAGCCTGCTTCACCGTAAATCGGGAATAATGGAGTGTCTCTGATCTGGTCCCTGCTAATATTTTGAAGGCTGAGGAGTGCTAAGCAAGAATTACAGAAGAGATTTTTTACCATTTTGGCTTTTGAACACAAATTTCTGGCCACTTAGTGTCTTTATCACTTTTATATTACCAATGTGTATCTCTTTTAAGATGGGAAAGGGCAGATGGTGTTTGAAGGAAAGGCAAATTAATAAATTCATTACCAGGAAACCTTTTATTTTAATCCAGGAAGAGTTGGAAGAACATTTCAGGGGCAGAAATCTAGCTCTGAGATTGAGTTTGACCCTGACATGCTCTCCTACAGCATGGATGAAGATCCCAGTTGTTCCCCTAAGAAGCAGGAGAAAAGGGAGGAGTTCACACACAATGAAGTGAAGGATGCTCGGTGGTGTTTTGACACTCCAGGAATTGTGAAAGAAGACTGTGTAGGTACTCTGTGGTGCTGTGTTACAGGATGATGGGGTTTGGGAGGACTGCTGTGCCGTAGCTGTGTCTATGGGAGAGTATTTCTGCTGTAGTCCTGGCATTAAGATTCTTCTGGTTTGGGAACTGTATTAAGGTATAGTTTGTATTTATGTGGGAGGGGTTCATGTGGTAATGCTGTTGCATTTCTGAACAGTGCAATACTGCCAGCTTTGCAAAGAAGCTGGAGGACTGTATCACCAAGCTTTCATAACCTCTGAATGAAGGGAAGTTAGCAAAAGTGCTCTTGGTTTATGCCAGCATCACCCAATGAAGCTGGCGCTTTTACAGCTCTCCCAGCATACTGAAAAAGGTGGTGCTTAGGAGGACCTGAGTTGTGTGACTGAACCAAATATTAGAGAAACATTCTCCTGAAGCAAGCAGTGTTCCTGCTACTAACCCCAATACGTGAGACCTTTGTCAATGTTTCGGTAGAGCCGTGCCCTACTGAAGCCAGTGCTGACAAAGTGCACAAGGCCAAACCAGGTGTATTTTGATTTTTGATCACTTTAATACTCATGCAGGGCTGCAGGTCATCTTTTGGGGAAGCTAAAAAAAGTACGGGGAGACAGGAAAGTTCTGAAGAGAAAGAAGTGCAAGAACTATGCTGAGACTTCACAGCTCAAATGCAGGTGCTGCTTTTTGGAACACTAGAAGACTTCTGGTTTTCTAGTGATATGTTTGCCAAACCATAACCTGCTTTACTGTGGCACTTAGGTCTTTTACAACCAGTATAAAAACAGGCATCAGTTTAGAGACCTGGTTTGGTATCTTGAGATTGTGCATGTTCTTCCCCTCTTCTGGAGTTGAATATGTGTGTAAAATACTTGCTGCATCCAGAAATACTTGCTGCTGTTTCTAATTCTTATTATCCTTGTTGTGTCTTTGGTGAGCTCCATGCCAAGTTTCAGATCAAAATTTGTTGCTGCAGTCGGTGTTCAGTCTGAATGGAGGACCAGCAGGTTGTCTATGTGGCCGATTTTGGCAGGGGAGATTCTTCCTGTTTCTCACTTACTATGTGGACCAAAATTGAGCTGTTGAGCCAGATGTTTTTGGCGCTGCTTTACTTGGTCTTGTTCCTCTCTCAATATAATGCCAATACTAATGTCATTGTCCCCATTGAAACATCTGAAATGAGTTACGACAATTTATTTTGCAGGTTTTGAATCTCCTGACAGAGAAGGAAGTAAAGCTGGTTTTGCCATCACATGCCATTATTCCACGGACCTTCATTCTCAAGCCAGGAATGGTTTTGTTTTTAGCAGCCTTGGGACGTATAGACTACTTAGAGGTAAGGGAAGAAAGGATTTTGGGAGCAGCTGATGCATCTCCTACAATAGTACCAGACATAAAAGGATTTCTGGGTAGCTTTCCCAGATCCTTTCTTTGCTGCTTTGGTGATGAGTCTGTTAATAAAACACTGCATAAAGTCAGAATGCCTTGAGATGGGCAGTTGAAAGGTTGGTTACTTGTTAGCAGCATTCTATATTGTATAGTATATAATGGGAACTACTTTTGAATGCTGACGAACATCTTTAGTTTGATGTGCTTCCCATGACATACAAAGAGGATGAGGGAGGGAGGAGAATATCAGAATTAACTGGGAATATAGGTGAGTTTCCTCATTTCTGTGTTTTGTGAAAGCTGTCTGCCAAAAGTGAAAAGCATAGACATTTTTCTTTCCTGACACAGACCTCTAAAGAATTTGCCAGAGGAAGCAATTAATTCCACATGTATTTCAGTTTCTGTAAAAAATATTTTGCAAAGGTCTTATGTCCTCCCCCACCAATAATTTCTTCCATTCATTAAAAATCCTGTGCCATACACCTTTATTCAAGTGTGTGGAGTTCACCTCCCATGATGTTTCCTCTGGAAGGGGCAGTTTCTTCCAGACAGACATTATTATAAGTCCTAGATCTTTTTTCTCAGCATCTTGCCCTGTTTTGGGGGTGTTCATGGCTATTCCTCTGTTTCAGTCTGCTTTCCAGGATTGCTGTAGAAATGTTGAATTGGTGCTTTGCTATGGACACTCTTGACTATCGGGAATAAAACAAGAAAGGTGGAAGGGGCAGGATTCTGTAAAGTGACAAAGGTACCAGTGTGGCAGGAGCCCACATCAATGCATCAGTCTTGTGTATTTCTTTCTCCTGAGATCATGAATGAGGGCAGTTGTACTTAAATCATGACAGAAGCTCCTGCCTCAGCTCGGACCTTTGAACTTGAAGGAATTGCTGCACTTGGGTTTCCTTATTTCCAGCTGCTAGCAGTGTTTGGAGGGGTCTCTCCCCTCTCTGACCTTGTCTGCTCTGCCTGCAAATGTGATGGGAGTGCCTGCTGAAATTGCTCCAGTCTTTGCATAGCTTGAGAGCAGCTGGAACTAAGTACTGTTCATTGAGATGTGTGTGTTAGAAATATAGAGTGATAGAAGAATCACCAGGCCAATTGTGCAAACATTCTGAATAATCACACTGAGCTTGTTCTTGTGAATGAAACAAGAGCAAAGAGCTCTCTTGGATGATTTTCCTGAGTTGAGCAGCTATGATGGCAGTAGATGTGGCATTTGGGGGTGCTTTGAGGCAGGGTGGTGAACCTGTGAGTGCTTCTTTCTGGAAGCTCAGCTCCCCAGTTTATATAGAAACCCTGGCTGCTCTCATTGGCAGAGGCAAGGACCTTTTGGACAGGGAGGGGACATGAGACAGGTTTTCAACATACAGTAAAGAAATAGGAGAGAGCAATTCCAGATTGCTTTTATCATAATTAACATCCTTTTGATTTTTATTTCAGGGAAAAAAGCCTGCCTGGTTTTCTGTCTTGGCTTCTAACCTGTTGCCAGTCCATGTTACTATGCTGAGTGATGCAGATGCTGTCTATGAGAAGCACGCAGCCCAAGAGTTCCTAAAGGTGAGTGGGGGTGCTGGGGGCAGCCTGTGGCTGCAGGTAGGCAGGACCCCTGTCTGGGGCACAACTGACAGGGAACATCCACATCAGGAGTTGAGGACTTCTGCAGTGTGGAGCAGTCTTGCACAGACTGCATGGCTGAGATGTTTTAGGAGAAAGCACTCAAGGTGATGGCTTTTCAGCAGTTTCTGTTTCTAGCTGGTAAGATTTGCAGTGCTCTGCTCTCTGATACTTAGATCTTTTTGAACAGCCTTAAAGTGCAAGCAGCAGCAGGGATATTTTCCATGGCAAACCTTCACGGTGGGTTTTCAGAACAGATTGCAGCTGAAAAATTTACCCTTCTTATTCTTTCCTTTCTGGATCTTCTGCACGTGTCTTCACCTCTTGGTGGTCTGACTTTTTTCTTGGTATGGCAATGTTCTTTGTAGCACTTGCAAACTGATGTGAGATGGGGTGAGCTGTCCCCATCCTGGCATTTCCATTCCTGTGCAAATAGAGAACAAGTGCTGCCACTCACATCAAGGCAGCTGGCCTGATCCACCATCTGTGTCCTGAGGTGGGAACTCCATCTTTGCTGACATCCTACCATCCAGGGTTCCTCTGGATGTGATCCTAAATCTGTTCTGGCAAACCTGAAAGAACTCTTCTAGGTTTTTCAAACTGGCTTTTAATTGCCTAACAAGTTAATGTCTTAATTCTCCCTTGTGCCTTGCTTGCCAGTTTGAGGTAGGAGTGCTGAAGCATGTCTTGACTGTTAAATCTTTTCTCCGTGTTTTAATCTCAGGTTCCCATGGGTGGGGAAGAGAGAATGAAAGAGTTCCCCCCACTTGTGCCTCAGGATATTACACTGACAGGAATTGGTACCACTGAGGCAGTTGCAGATATCAAGCTTTCCTCTGCAGGTAATTTATTATTTCTTCATTAGTTTGCATTGCAGGGTCTGCATCCTAGAAACATTGATGGGAAGAGGCCTCTGAAGGGGTGAAGCTGTATGTCCTGCTCAGAGCAGGACTTTCAACAACACAGAATCGTAGCAGCCATTACTGTCCAGCTGAAGCTTGGCAGCCTCCAAGAATGGAGATAGACAGCCGTGCTTGTACAGGATGGCAGCATTGAAATACTTTATGCTCTGGCTGCTGTACAGGTTCTACAGCATCAGGATTGGCTGTGACATTGTCAGCTGTGCAGGTGAGAGGGAAAGGGATGTTGATTGCAAAGATTCATTCTGGTGGTTTTGGTAGTTCCACCATCCCTATTCAGTTTACCAGGAAAGAGCTGTGTCTAGGAAGAGGAAGTTGTAGCTTTAGGTGCTGCCTTCTCTTGGGAAAGGGCTGGATATGGACTTTGAGCTTGATTTCTCAAGCAACCACACATGGGTAGCTCAGGTTCATAAGCAGTAGTTTGTGTCAGAACTTTGTTTTGATCCAAGGGACTTTGTTCCTCACTGTCCATATTCTCTTTGGCTGTGCAGGCTGGGTGGCAGTGACGGCTCACGCGGAAGAGGAATTGCAGCTCCGAGCCTACACTCCCAAGGGCACTGCGTTGGTGGTGCGGGAGCCACCCCTTCTGCCTTACATCAGTGCCATCAGAGGGGTCCGGATCCCGGGCACTCCTGCCTACAGGACCAAAAAGCCTCCCTCCTTTGTGGAAAACTTGAGAACCACGGGAAGCAGATAGTGCTGCTCATCATCCGAGCAAGGCAGAAGACAGAGCAGCCCCTGAAGAACCTTGTGGCTTATTGGTGTTCAGAAAACCTTGCACTCATTTTTAGAGGCCAACGGGCATATTTTGGAAAGCAGGTCTGGGGGTAGCTCCACATCTGATCCAGCTGCTGAACTGCAGCTGCTTTGAATGAACTGAGTGGCTGAGACTTCATTGTGGGAGGGGAAATAGCTTCTCCATGGGATGTGTCAGTATTAGACAGGCAGATTCCTTTACCTGTCCCCTCTTGAAATATGGGATGGAAACTCACCCGCGTGACCTGGTCTTGAAATATGGGATGGAAACTCACCCGCGTGACCTGGTCTGACTTTGCTGCTCATAGAGTGTGTGGTTTCCTGCACTTCAGGTGTTTCCATGATTAGGGGAGGGAGAGAGTGAGAAGGAGCAGGGAATGCTCCAGTATGGGTGATATCCCACAGCCCTCCCAGTGGCTGATACGGATTGAGCAATATCGACCAGAAGTTGTGTCCTTTCTCTCCTTCAGCACCTGAGGTAGATCAGGATGTGCAGTATCACAGGAAAAGTGAATTGATGAAATGCAGGTCTGCTCATGTGCCTGAAGAGGAAACTGCAAATCTCTACTTGGATTTGGTTTCTGTAACTTGGGTAAAGTTTTTTGAACCAAGGGTGTAGAATAAAACTTTTCAAAGACACTCTTTTGTGTCCTAGTTGACAAAAGCACTCATTTTATGGCTAAATACATGAAAGCTCCAGCACAATAATAAATGTGCTTGATCTTCCAAAGACAGGCAGAGTGAGAGACACATGGACAGCCAGTCTGCTGAAAAAGAGGCAAAAAAAGAGATTATCTTCTAATCTCCTTACCATTTCCCTGATGTTTTCCCCCGTCAGTCTGTCACTCCCCAGAGGTGGCTCTGCTGTCCTTGAGTCCTTGGCTGTTGTCCTAAAGAAACCTAGATGATTAACAGACATTGGCTCAATCAGCATCCTCTTCTCACCATTGCTACCTGTGGGATGTCGTGGCATTCCTTTAGGGAAACCTGTCCTTTTGCCTTGCTCTTTGTTTCCCCACATTTTCAGCCCAGACTCACTCCCTGGGAGTCCACCCACTCCTGTCCACAGCACCTGCCCTAGCACCCGCTATTGTCACGGCCGGGGCCTCCTGCTGAGGCATTTGCCATTCTCTGCCACTTCACCTCTTCCTCGCCCTGCTCTGCTGACTCCTTCCCTGCTTCCCACTCTGGGGTCTGGTGAGATGGGGTGGGCCAAGCAGGGCCACTGGTTTGAGAAATGCTAGGTGCCCTGGGGTTTGAGGTTCAGCATTGTCCTGAGGGAAGTTCCCTGTCCTTCCTGGTGACTGCCCAGTTCTCCCGGTGTAGGAGGACAGTTGTTTATGAGGGTCAGTCTGCTGTCAGTGAACACAGGGACTGTGATTCACAGATGTTCACTGTGCCTGTAGGCTGCAGTGGAGTCTCTGCTGTGCACTGCACTGGGAACACCCTCACCCAGCTCTGCCAGGTGAATCTTACTCCTTGGCCATCAGTGGGGATGGAGCTTACTGAGCTCCCTGCATATGTGAAACGATGGGTCCTGTGAAGTGAGAACTGGAGCATACAATCAATTTGTGCCAAGGAGAGAAGAGCTGGTGGTACGGTTTCTATCAGTTGTTTCCTGCAGGATTACAAGCTGGATAGTTTTGAAGAGGATGGAAAGAGGAGGTGAGAGCCCAGCCAATGAGGCCCTGTTTCTGCTGGAGGCAATGAAGAGGGTATGCTGTCATCATGGGCTGCAGCCTTCCTGACCCGTCAGGGTGTGTTTGCTTGGTGGGCTCTGAGGCTCTTCATGCCTCAGCAAACGCTGGTGGGGTGGATCTCTGGAAGAGCAGGCTCAGGCGTGATGGGAAAGGCTGCTTGGTGCATATTGCTTCATGGTTACAGCTGCTGATTCATGTTCACTGTTGGAAGTGCTGTGATTCTGTGGCCCCACACTTGATGTTTGCAAGACAATGATCTTTCTCTCTTCTGACTGTGTCTGCTATAGGATATTCTGGAGTGGGAAGTTGTCTTGTGATCAGGCCTGTGGAGGGATTGATTTGGTATCAGCCCTCATCCCAGTATCCTTCCCAGATTGAGTTGATGTGCTGTAGGAGTGAAACCAAAGCACAGTATTACAGAGTGTGGAGGTTGGAAGGGACCTGGAGACCATCTGGTCTAACATCTGCTCAAGCAGGTGCACCTAGAGCAGGCTAGGTGGATTTTGGGTGGGAATAGGGCAATAAAGGGGTGAAGTTTGCATTCACTCTCTGCCCAGTGCTGTGCTTTTTGCCATTTCTGGATGTAAATAAAAAGCCTCCTGTACATTAGATAAAATATGCCATCCTCACCTTGACTTATGAGGAAGTATTTTCTAGTTCTTTCTACAAGAAGAATAATTTACTATGGCAGCATGTTCCTCACTGCCCAGGCTGTGCCTCACACAGCTCTCCTGTTTTCCTTCTGTTTCTTTGTTGTGAAAGCCAGCACATGTGTGGCCACTCCTAGGGTGTGCTTGGCAAGCATCAGAGCAGACAGCAAGCTCCAGAATGTGTTTTTTCCAGCATGGATATATGGGACTGTAGCTGTCTTCCTGGCTGGATTTCTTTATGCTGCTGGCAGGCCTCATGTTTAGCTGCCAAAATAACTGAAGGAGTTGCCAACAGGACTGGTGTGAGGATTATCTGTTTTAGCTGTGCTAATCTTCACAATGCTGTGATTTTCAATTTCCCCTTCATAAGGAGAAAAAACATCATATTTAAATTTTTTACGAACAAGATTCTCAAAGCTGTTTTTTTAAGAGATTCTTTTTGAAGTGGCTTTTGTGGTGATGGAAGAGGAAGTGCCATATTTATCTCAACACACAGAGCAAACCAACCCCTGTACAAACTCTGCCCATTCTTTTTGAGCAGGCCATGGATTTATCAAGTCACTTCCTTGACTTGTTCATAGCTAAATGCGAGAGTGGTATCACTTCCTGCATTTCTTCAAGATTGGGTATCTTAAACATTTTTAATAACTTTATGTGTCTGGAAACAGCATGAGCAAGTTATGTTGTTTATGTCTTAAGCAAGAATACTGAGAAGAATGCAAAAGAGTACTGAAACAGGGACCTCTGCATCCATGTACCAATCCAAACTTCTTGGATGTTTTACATGCATCAGATGGTGGTGAGAGAGGAAGAACATCAAGATCTGCCAGAGCTGCCAGCTTAATATCATAACCCAAAATCAGGTGAGGGTATTGAAAGATACCAAAGTGACATCTATTCCTTTTCATCCTTGGCTGTAGGACAGGTGTGTGAATGAGGTACATCATGAAAAGGGACTCGTAGACAGCACTTCCCCTCTACACTTCAGAGGTCAGAAAGGCACTGTAGCTTTTTGAGGCAAAAGCCACTGTAATGTTCTTGTGGGGGTGGTGCAGTTCTGCAGTGCCTGAATTCAGAGCTGTGCTTACTGGCCACGAGAGAATCCATGATTTCTGCATGTCTAACTTCCAGCTTAGAAGTGTCTTTGGTACTGGTTTCCATAAAAACATCCATTGCTGAGCATAATAGTCATGGGCTGCAGGGGTGAATACCCCTGGCTCTGTCTTTTAGCTTTGAAAAGTTCTCACACATTTGGTGGCTTTAGTCCTTCCTGGAGCACTGCCTGGGGTGGTGTCACTTCATTCCCAATGTGAAACAGACTGTAATTTGCACAGACTGTTCCTCAAATTTTTATAGAAGCATAAAAGTTGGGATATGTTTTCATCATGAAGAAAGAGTAAAAAGAGCAAGAACTTCAAATGCTCGAAAAGTGAAGAAGAGGGGGAAGCTGGAGCAAATAGAAAAAAAGTAAGTAGCAGAAACTGGTTAAAAGAGGACTGCATTAAGAGAGAACAAGTTTTAAACTTCATGGTCTTATATGCAAATCTCACCATAAAAGCATTTTAAAACTAGGGACTGGACTTTGTGGCCCACCAACACCAGTTCTGGAATGAGGTACAATTGACAAATGGTATAGAAACACAGGGATATGTAAACAGCTACTGGTTTTTTGTTGTTAGTTTTTTTTTTTTTTTTTTTTTTCCACAAAACTATCAAAAATCTGTCCACGGAGATCAAATATTGCACCTCTGTGATCTGATGTATGCTCCACAACCAGAAGCACAAAAGGAAATATACTACATTCGTTTTAAGGGTACACTTGAATTTAGCAAGCAATTCTTGAGATTAGAAACCATACCTTTGCACATTTACACATTTGCTGATTTAAAATAAAAATGTAACTACAAAATTAGTCCTAATTTTCACCTGTGCACAGTAGATGGTACTGCATTTAGTCTGAAATTAGTAAACAGGTATATAGTCACATGAATTTTGACATTTTAAATGAAGCTATTTGCAGTTATGGAAGTGAGAGAGGTTTTATTCTACATCTGTAGAACATTTGGTGTGGCTTTGGTTTATTTGTCTGTAAGATGAGAATAAAAGCACTTCAACAGTACGTCTGTATTTGCAAAATAAGCACATTTAATTTTAGAAAAAACACTCACAGTGAAGTGAGGGAAGCCTGACATTACTTTCTTCTAAAAGTCAAGGCAGGCAAAGTTAGAGGTTAGAAGCAGGCCCTTGAGATTGCAAATGTCAGATTTGCCCAAACCTTAATAAAATCTTGCAAATACAAAATATGTTGTAAACATTAACAATGGGACAAGAAAATAATATATCAAATTCACATGGAAAATTTCTAAAAACTTGTTGAACATCTCAGAGTTATGACAAGCAGAGGAAATATGAGACAAGGGAGAAAATAAGAAAAAAATATAAAAACATGGTGTCTACCAGGTCAACCTCACTGACATGCTGCTCCTACTTCATTACTCTATGGGGTGAGGGGACCCACAGGCACAGCTTTGAGAATATTCCTCCTTTTTGTCCAAAACTATGTAGAGAAAATTTCGAGAAGTAAAGGAAATTCCTCCAAATGTGTATTAGGAGGCATTTCAGACAGCATGAATACATCCAAGTCTTTTAAATTAGGACCTTAGAGGACATTTTTCTCCTGTTGTGAACTAGCTGGGAAAAATACCTTTGACAAGAACTCACCAGGCAATTAAGTGACACAGGGTTCAGTAGGAACAATTAAAGGCTTATCTGCACTGACAAAAAATCTGACAGATTTTAAGGGTAGAGCTTTTTGGCTAAAACTGTAGTGGGGAGGCAAATGTTTTTAAATTTGAGTGTCCAATCTTTATGAATCCAGTAAGCATTTTGAAAATAATCATTTGACATGCATGTTACAACACACCCAGTTGTCACTGGGCTTTGTGCACTCTGGGCTCCCTCCATGGAACT